CAATAAATTACCCTTATTCTTTGCTCGCCCCCCCTTTGCCTACCAAAATGCTATCACATGACCCGGTTTCGTATTCCGTGAGAAGTTCTAATGAGATTTAGCAAAAGTTGAGACTTGGGTCCAGTCAGAATTAGAAAGCTCTTTTGGAAGCAGGACTAAGTGAAATGCAATGGCATCATGAGGTCGGCACATAGTATTGTGAGAAAATTCCATTGTTTTTTCTTAAATTAACCTTAAACGATCTTGATTGGCAAAGTCATTATGCCGAAATTGACTCGGATGTATGGAAAAATCAACTGACGATAAAGTAATGGGAAAGATGATTTATTGCTCCGATTGAGCATCGGTTATGATATCACTTCTCTTTTTCTTTTAATGTTTCCGCCCATTGTCAATCTTCGTAGGACAAAAGGAAAAGTGATGACATAACTGTTTGGCAAAAAGTTGGTCAAGAGAATGGAAGTTCTTACTGACGATACCGACTACGATGCAGGCGAAACATCTGAAAAAGTACCAATTCTACGGTCTGGCGCCTGGAGTTATGATTACTACAACTAGGTCGCCCTAACAGCACGACCAAATTGCGAAAAGGAGGTTAAACGACTTTCATACAGCGAAAAGAGAGTTCGGCAAAACGGAGGCCACAACATCCCGGTCTTCATATCTACAATCTGGTGGCAAGGTATCAACGGGAATGAGGTAAAATTCTTACTTGGATCTTCCCGTTTTTCCTTAAAATTCTCTTTTATGTTGTTTTCAAAGCAGTTGAAAACCGCTATTCTGATCACCAGCGCCATTACAAAAACTTTTGGATATGTTGTAAAAAGTGGTATTCCGTAAAATCCTTTGATAATTTAATGTGCCTCAGTTATGACCGTTGATAGGCGCAAACTTGCTGACCCAACTTTCTGTGATCTCAATCCATCTGGGTTGAGCTTTTTTATATCTACTTCGGCAAAAGGCATCACCAGAGTCATAAAGCATCATTAATAATAAATGTACCAAACAACTTAACTAATAAATTTGCTTGACTGAAATAATACTCACCTCGTAAACCCTATTTTTCCATCAAAACAAGCCATTGCATGAGCCGATTGCCTGTTTTATGTATTAATGCTTTTTTGTCGATGCTTGTTTCTGATTCTGACTAGCTTCGTCAGGGTGAAGCATAGTAAAGCCGAAGGAGGATGAGTCGAGGAATGTTTAACGCAATCCAATTGTCTTTACTGCTTAGATTTCCTTTGATTTCACAAAAGCCTTTCAGCCAACCTTCTCTTTGCAAATAAAATTTGAGTCATATTAATCAAATTCTGAAGACTAAACGATTTGGACCAGTTGCTTTCGGATAGTGTAAGTTGCAAGGGGCAGAAATATATTTCGTTTAAGGTGAAGAAAGACTGGTTGTTGAATTGTCCCACAATCAAATGAGTACATTATCTTGCTTTCCAAAGGGTATGCTCATCATTCTACGATGTATAGGCAGATCTTCCATTTTAGGCAAGACCGAAACTGCAGTCCACTCCAACCAAGCTGAGAATACCGTTTGAGAAGGCAAGAATATGCGAAATTTAATGGACACGTAAGGTCTACTGACATCAAAGCGGGAAAATTCAACCAGGGGTCCCCTTATCAACTTAAACGAAATATCGCTAATACGCTTCATGTACATTCCCATGATTCGTTCCTCTTCAACGGCTACATTCGGCAATAGGTCATGCAGCAAACAGGATCAGGTAGCTGAAACAACAGTTATGTTATGGCAAGTGTGCTCATGAATCGAGAGCCGATTCATTGACGCATTGAACGAGAACAAAGTTTTGTGGAAATTTCCTCGATGGATTTGGCACTGGCCTTTTCGTTAATTGTATTAAATGTAGAAAGCATTTTTTGACAAAAACTGAGGCACTTGTGGACGTGCAAATTGGGAAATCAAAGTAGAGTATTTTCAGGGTGACCACCACTTCTGTAGAAGGTTTAGTCTTCCGGATTAAACCAATCTGCTCTAATTCTTTTTGCAAAATAATGTAACCTACAGAAGACTGGATTGCTTTCGACAGTGAGGGCTTGATAGTTGAGCTCTTTACAACCAAACGAGTAGATTTCATATGACCACCGGGGTTTATCTGGACTTGTCGCCATGGTTGAACTGCCGTTTCGACCTCGTCCGGGTCTCATCAATAGACCCAACACTATTCGATTCCGAATCTTGCAGGTAGCATAGCAACCTGCCACAGACCCTCTCGGTACCTTTGCGTAATGGGGCAGATATTAATTGTTCACAGGAATTTCATTTCGTATGAAAGTGCATGAAGAAGAGATTGGTATGTCGATCTCACCAGACGAAGACGGTCGATTCCTGCTTTACTGTATCTTTTGTGTTTGAGTAGAGTTTCGAGAATACCAGTAAATCAGTAATATGAGATGTATTCACCCTATTTCGTTTAAGGTGATGACGGACTGGTAGTAGAATTTACTTACAATTATATGAGTAGTGCCTTGCTTTCCAAAAAGTTGTTCTTAACTGTAATGTAGCCATTTGGCTTTAATACATGGCTCAGTTTGAAGCATTACATGAGATATCCTCCTGGTTTCGTGCTCCTTGGGCTGTTAAACCTTAATGACCCTAGACCGAGAGGTTAGGACGGGTGGTTTCTCAACCTAAGCTACACACTTATAGGCTTACATCTCATTATCTCAACCACACTTTCTTAAGGACTTACATAGTCTTGGTCATGGCTTCTTCTTGGGTCATTAAGCCTTGATGACCTAAACCTGAGATTAGCTTTTCAGGAACCGGTATTGAGTTGACATACACACACACACATTCGAGCAAAAGTAGCTTGACAAACATGAAAGCTAATTAGCCAAACCATTTTTTATTTATTTAGGCCCATCCATTTTCGTTTTTAGTGATGAGTGTGAATACGAGGTAAGATACTTTGTGTTTGTTAGCGTCAGACTTTTACAAGAACGAGTTTCAGCTCTGATGATGATGCGCGAAAGCTCATCCCGTTTCACCTGAAACGAGAGAGGAAGTCTCGTGGAATGCGTAGAACTGAGTGATGCACTAAAGCCAAACGGCTGCAATACAACAGGATTCAACCGTCCTCTTCTGGTGTGGTCGACCTTCGAATCTCTTCTTCATGCACTTTCATATGAAATGAAAGTCTCCCCAACGAAAGTTCGGCTTAATATTCTTGAGAATGGGTAGATACAGCCGAATTCTTCGATGCCGAGTTTCCCACAAGTAGGCTCTCCTCCTGTTTGCGCTGCCGACTTGATCTCGTTCGGGTCTTGACTTCACTCCAAAGAGGATTCGAACCGCAACTACACACACAAGTGATGTATTTAAAGACTAGCAGTGGGATTTTTCCCGCAATTATGTGAGTAGACGCCAAGATGTCACTATCAATACGTTAATTGCCCTAAGCAGTCTAGACTAATTAGCATCATCTTCAAAGATGTCTTATGGCCTCAAATATCAACACTATCGACTATTATGATAGCAAATATGATATTTTTTAATTAAACATTCTAATTAAAAAGTAAAGTTAATTTGAAAGAATGCGTCAATTTGTCTCACCGGAAATCAACTCATCGTCCCGCGACACGATTGATCGGTTCTAAGATGTAATTTAGCTCATCACGACCGACATCATCCGCA